CAATGGCAGCTGATCTCCATTCCAAAGTAAAAAAACATAAGCTTCGTATTTCCAACTATGCAATGTAAACACCAGCAGGCTATTAATGATTCGCTTCTACATGTTTTTGGTAATTCTAAAACCGGGGATATTTGGGAGATTAGTTGCATATGAATTCGAAACCATGTAATTATCCGAATAAAATCCCATTCTACAATTCTTCGAGCGATTTGCTTGGTTAATGGTAATGGACACACACTGATCATGATCCAGTCCATCGATCGGGAAACTACATACGTATACTATATATAGCATCACGTTAGTGCCAGACAAAACAATGCGCTCGCAAAGTAACATAAATATATAGTAATTCTATCACGAGAGAGGAAAGGAATTTAACGAAGTATACGCAGGAGGAGGATGAAGATATGGCATGCTCACGGAAAGAAATAGCACGCAGTTGCACTGGAATATAAGTTATAGTAATAAACTTTGTTTGGAGGTGTCGAGACTCAAATACATGGGATAACAGTTCACGCTCGGTGCAATGGACCTTACTTGTCATTGTCATGTAGAGTGACTAGGGTGTTTGTCTGTCCGAGCAAGCTGCTGATGGACCGTGCTTTCACCATTCCAAGCTTCATTCTCTTCTTCGTAATCACTGCCGGCTTCTTCTCGTCAATGTCGTTGTGAATGCCTGAAGAATCACATATACTTCTCTTTTCAGGAGACGAAGAAGATGAAGCTGCGCACAATGAAGAGAGAGAATCGTTATTCTTTGTCGACGCAGTAGTTGCAGAAGGAATAGATCGGCTCCTGACGCTGGTGATGCTTCTGAGCCTTCCCTTGCCCAAATGATGCTCACACAGAGAGTAACCCACCAGTGTTTGCTGACAACACCTCCATCCCCTCCCGTTCACTCTACTGCACCGCGACCCCTCCACCATTACCAAACTTCCCCTTCCCCTTTTCTTGCTCGTATTCACATCCATATTCACTTCCCCTTTTCCTTCTTCTTCATCCTCCCCATTTCTCTCATCATCGTCATCATCATTATTCCGCGTGCATTTCTTGTTCATCTTCGTCTTCATCCTAGTCTTCATCTTCTTGCTGTTATTACTGTTGCTGTCCCTCGTGTTCATCATGTAGTCACCGCCTCTCCCTCTTCGTTTCTTCGGCGGAATCGCTTTCTCTCCGTCGCACCATTTCCCATCTGCATGCCGCGCTCAGCATGTTATATATGTGGCGTTAACAACACCGTGCACAAGCCGTCACAAGTAATAACGCTTACCTAGATTAGACGGTGAGGGTGGGATGACTTCGGATACGGTACCGGAACCCGAGATGACTCCTTTCCTAGCAAGTGACAAGCGACGCCCAGGATATACATACGAACAACAACCACATAATTACATAAATTTTAAGGAAGACGAAAGATAAAGTTGGGTGTAATGTAATATATATATACATAGAAAGAGCAACAAGTAGTAGAGATGATGGGGACCAGCATATCCGTGCTATTTGTGAGCCTGAGACGCATGGTGGTTAGCCAATTTAGAGAAAAAACACGATCCCCTACTCATAGGAGGGGTGTGGGTGGTGGCTACCAGTGCTCTCACAAATGACACCTTCCACAGTATTTTCCACTATCACTATTTTTTCTTCTTGCGCCTCCTATTTTTATTATTATTTCCCCTTTTCGATGCCGGGTAAAATCAAGTTATGGGTCTCCATGTTTTCTACCTTTCTTTTTATTTCTTTTCCATGAAACAAGAGACGACGACGCATATAATCCTATTTTAATTTATATTCATTCCTAACTTTTTTCTTGTCATCTTTCTTACCCGGTATCATTACGCTTCTCCCCTCCTCCGTCGCGCCCTCCCCCGGCCTCGTCCTGCAAAATCACGCACCAAATATTAGATCCGGAGATATAGGATTGACCCCGAAATGCGCCCCTCAGCAACTGTGAAATCTAATTCGTGTGGCTTGCGTGAGAGATTGGACATAAAGCAGTGCAGTCGTACGGAACTCAAAAGGCAAACGGAAATAGCAAACTCAAAGGAAATGAAATCACAAACCGAACGATCTGCCTTGGTGTGGTGATCGTGCGCTCCACTCTCGGCGACGATAGCGGCGGAGTGCCCGGGGTCCTCCGGTTTCCCCATCGGCGGGAGAGGATGAGTATGATCCAAGAGGGAGGCAGTGAGAGCAGCAGTATCGGGTTGTTGCTGGAGAAGAAGAGGAACAGAAGATTTGTGTGAGGAAGCATGAGGGAGTTGCACCATCGGCGACGGATGGATCGAACGGGGATCTGAAAGAGGGGGAGGGACCTGCCTTTTGCGGATCCTCATGGGGGGCGGTGCAGGATAGGATTTGAGGGTAACCCCACCAGATTTACGCCAGAAAGAGGGAAAGATTAGGAGCGGTGGGAGGGAGGAGAGGCGATGTAGAGGAAGAAGGTTCAGATTTGAGAGGCGAAAAGGGGAGAAGGAAAAGAGAAAGACACGAGGGAGAGAAGGGGAAGGAAGACATAGGCTACATGTAGAAGCTGCGAAGACCGAGAAAAATTGGGGCTTGGAAGGATTGAGAGCAGAGAAGCACAGTGTGTGTGGCTGGCTCTCGCTCTCCAAGGCTCCATGGGAGAGTCCACATATATTGATGCCAGATAGGGGGCTTGTGGGGAGGGGGGTTTCTCTCTCTAACTTTTATTTAGTTGCACCAAAGAAAGAGAAGATGCAAAAGGAGGGGGAGAGAGAGAGAGAGCACGTGAGAGAGAGAGAAGGGGGGCGAAGGAGGAGGTGGCCGGATGAGAAGGCAAGGAGAGTACGGACGAGGGAAGGCAGGGTGGAAGAGAATTGATGCGGAGGAGCAGGAGGAGGGAGTGGGTGGTTTTATCATTCACCCCACCCTCTTACTTTTATGACCGTGGGGGCGTGTGGGCCCCCCCTTCTTCCCCTCAACACCCTCCTCTTCTCTTGCCTTTTCCCTCACAAGTCACAAGTCCGTTTTTGTCTTTCCCTCTCTCAAACGATGCGTTTCCGTCCCCTCTTTCTCCATACAGGAAGGGACACGTTACTGTTGTTAATTAAATGCCCCTTTTGGTCCAACTCATCTTCATCTTGGTCTTGGCTCTCCCATAAACCCCTCGAAAGAGGAAAATCAAACCAAACCACTTGTGAATGGACTTTTGACACCTAGAGCCGCTTGGGGATCCCTTGACGAAACTTCATGTCTAATAATAGTGAGTGAACAGGCGAGGGGGCACTATTATTTGAACACACCCTTCTTTTCTCATGTTTAACAGCTACAAGCTGACAGCGCCCACCCCGCTTGCTTATGGCAACCGGGAAATTGAATATATGCGATCAATGACGTGGTGCCAAGAGAAGTGAGATAGAAATGGTGTGTGTGGACTGTGGAGCAGAAATGAACGGTGAAGGATGCTTTTCTGGAAAACCATGGTTGGATTGAAGCGCAGTTGATTTGGTCCGGTTAGGGAGACCCAGGGGAGAGGATGACAAGGGAGCGCATTAAGGCGTTGACACGACTTGTTGCGGCCCTTCACCTCACTTTACTGCTCCTACAGTGCGCCATCTGGTGGACTAAGTTATGCTTATCAATGATCATGTCATAACTTCTCTTTTCTTTGCCACACAATATCCTAACTGTTTGCACTCCGCACCCAACCATGTGTTTCAACTTTAGACGGAGAAGGGCATATTCTTATCCTGTTAATTTCTGTTCACAATACATTATACGACCATCAATAACCACGCGGCTGACTGCGTGCCACGAGAGGGGCCCATTTCTAATATGATTAATGATAATTTAATTTGTAATGCATTTTCCCAATGGTTTTATAGATCAGTGATATAAATAAAAAAAATTTCTATGACACAAGGCCTTTTTTTAATCCCAAGCTTTTAGTATCTTTCCCTAACTGAAAAATTTTCTGTGCATTTTTTTTAAACACCTCCATAATTCTTGATCCACCCTATCATAATCGGTGTCTATAATTTGACATGTCAAGTTTTTTCACAACGGCAGCCTTAAAATTGATTATCATAATAACTAAAAGTCCCTTTAAGTAAATTTAACTGTACTAAACAGGAGAAACATGAATGTCAGGAGAGTATAGTCAAAGCCCATCAGGAAATTAGTGTGGAAAAGTGACTTTTTTTGGCAGAAAACAAGATAGTCAAGCTAATGGAACTTTGGTAACAGAATAGTCAAAGCCCACCTGGATTTGTATCCCACCCCATGGGCCAAATCAGATCCGAACTTGGGCTTCGACTATTCTGGCACGTGCAGCCCAACAAACCCGAACCCGTGAAGGCGAGAACCAAAGGACTATACCCGTCTCTAATACGTTTTTGTGCGAAGTGAAACCCTTTTGTCTTGGTTGTTCAATTGTAGTACTTTTCTTTGAGTGCAGTGACCAATACTAATTTAAAATTTTAAAATTCAACAGTCTTTTTTTAAATTTTTTTTTTAATTGTGCGTCTGAAGTCAAGAACATGATTTTAAGCTACCATATAATGCCGATTCATAGTATTATTATTAATTACTACGTTCGGTCCCAATTATGAGACCTCATTTGTAGTCTACAAACAATGTTTTATAAATATAATCAGAGGTATTATTAATTTGACTTATATCTGGATTCTATGGCTTTTTTTGGTGAATACGATATTGGTTTTGGTTTTGGTATTTCGTTACTGCACAAGGATGTGCAGTTTTGGTCCGAATATTAATTCTCTAATTTAGCATTTGCATGATTGAATACACCTAATTATAAGATTTCATTTGTAGGCTACAATGAGATCTCATAGAGATAGTAACATATAAAACATTTGGTTCGCGCTTAGCTGTCAACACAGGAAAATATTAAATATCGAGTGGGATTTTCGCGCAGTTTTCATGTTTACGCAAGAATATATGTAACGTTCGTCTAAATTAAACGTTCACAGGTGCATATCCGTACATATACGGACAACACTGCTTTTCGATCGTATGGTTGGAGCGTTTAGTGCCATTTAATTAAATCTAACTAATGATTAGTTCGGATATAAAGCTACTTTAAACATGATTGATATCTAGTTAGGAAGTTACTACAGGTGACAGAGACTGGTTAGCTGCAAAACATGCACAAATAAAATAACTCGTGATTATGTGAAGCGATTTCTGATAACTGAACACCAACCAACGGCTTTATCACCATAATTATCACGTAATTAGTTTCTTCTAACTCAAATCAACACTGTCCTTTTCTTGGTGTCTTAATTTTTCCAGCGATACGCAGACAATATAAACAGACCTCACGTATAGATTTCTAAACGCGAATATTACTAACAGTAATATATATACTTATAATTAACGTTCAATCACTCTATGTTATACTCCTCCGGTCCTTATTATAAGACCCAATTTGACTTTTTATTTGGTCCTAATTATAAAACCCAATCCATTTTCTCTCTTATATTTATGCATTTTTTTTCAAGATAATCCTTCTAATAATGATAGTTTTAGCCAATATACTTAATTAGCAATGATATTTTAGGAATAACAACACTTATTTATTATAAATAACCAACTTAACTTACTTCCTTAATCTCCTCAAATAAGTCAATTGGGTCTTATAATTAGGACCGGAGGAGTAATAAATAAATGATATCGACACAAAACAATACATTTTTTAAGATGGGCATGCGTCTTCTAGATGTAGGAATTTTTGCAGGATTCTGATAACACCAGAAGCCAATAACGCGCGCGCGCGCGCACCAACCACCCCCCCCCCCCGCCCCACACACACACACATTATCTATTCTTGTCCAAGACTACAAAACTTTATGTCCTATTTATTCGCTGGCCTGTGCACTTCTATTGTTATTTCTACCACCATCGCTGACATATCAAGAAGACAAGGAGTACAACTTGAAGACCCACTAGAAAGTGAAAAATTTTATATTTTGTAAAGGTGGAAGATCTGCTCCGCTAAAAATGAAAAGAATTAAATATGTGTGCTCGAGGAACACAGCACAGCGTTATTAGATCCAGATTAATTAAGTCCGGTCCGCAGCGAATAGGGGCTTGATTGATATAAGTTCAGGCTCTTCAATATTAATTAACAATGGTCAAATCAGCGCAGCTGTTTGAAGTATCTTTCTTCACGTGGAACCCAATTTTTGTGAGTATATATATTTGTTTCCTTTATGGTGAGACTTGATCACCATACCCACCGCCTACTGCTTTTTTAATCAATTATGCGTACTCAAGCAAACATTACATTATTTAAAAGGGTGTTTGAGAACCATGGTCTTGGAAGTGTTTTTATGATATACGAAGTAAGTATGTGGATGAGTTTGCATCGATTTGTGAAAAAATGCTTCTGAAAAGTGCTTACTGGTTTACCTAAACACCCCGTAAGTAACTTTATTTCAGCTGTGTTATGCATATATATTTGTCTTGTATAATTTTCTTTAACTTGAACGCGCCATTCCATTTAGTTTGTTTTCATATTACACATGCATCTATTTTGCACTAACTTGGATACTGTTAACGACTAAGTAGTCTAGTAAAATAAACTATTTCTTTTAAGTACGAGGTCTTAAGTTTAACTTTACCTGTAATTTCAAATTGTTACTATTTTTTCTAAATTTTTTGTAAAAAGAAAAGTTTGGACGTGGTTTATTGTTTCTTTCGGCGTGAAAAAACCATATATGGGGATGATACCTTTTACATTTAGAATAAAAGTTAAAAACAAAACCACAATAAGATGACATTATTATTGATTACCTAGATATCTAATAATGTTCTGTTTTTGGTTTGGTCTTTTTTTAAAATCTTTTTTATTCTGAATTTGTGGCTCCGCACATATTGGCCAAGTGACCTGGGAACGAGAATTATCTAAATGTTCCACCAGCTGGAAACCAAAGTAGGGCGTCGCTAACCAATATTGACTGGACAGATATTAATTAATATAACGGACGTGTGGTGGTACTGCTCTGTTTCCTTTGGAGGGCGAGAACGATGCATAGTACTCCAACCATATCACGCACTGTTTTGGACTAGATGTCGTACCCTGCACCAAACCAAAACACAAAGTCAAGCAATCATATGAATTATTGACACCTTTGTAGCTCTTGGGTTACTTTCCTGCCTCTGGGAAGTAGGCCCCCAGAATCTTCTCTCTTAATATGGTTCCGAAATTGACTTCATATCAAACAGTCTCTTTTACTTTTTTCGGTGTCGGAAAACGCCTCCTAAAATGAATGAATCCAGGTACTTTCGGAATGCAAAAGTAAGAGGCAAAGGCAATTTGTGTATTATAATCAATTAGAAGAAAGAGACACGCGGTTGAGGAAATTAAATTACCAGTATTATCAACCCTTTGCTTAGTGACGAAGCAGAAGCTTTTGAACGATTTACTCGTTCTTTGTGAACTTGCTGCTGCTAATGCACGAATCATTACAAGCAGCCCATATGCTCGAGAAAAAATTATTCAAATTGCAGGAGATCCCAATATCATATTTGATCACATATAGAGCACGACGAGTTTGTTAAGTGGGAAATGATTATGGTTTGAATTTTCAACTCTGTTTCCGGGAATGCTGTACTTGATACGCATTAAAGATGATGTATGATTCATACATGCTTCTAAGCAATAACCAAAGGACGACACTTTATCAGCAAGGAAATAATAAAGCTGCGACGCGACGTGCTTCTTATCATTTAGCAGTATATATAGGCTTCCTGCATATCACTCAGTGAACCCACCATTTCCTGTGAAAAAGGAAGAAATCAACAGCTCAAAAATGCCTTGCTTTTCCTGTTATAGGCTTGTGGTTACCATTTGGCTTCCTGTTGCCCTAATTTATTCATCAAATGCTCAGCTGACTTCAACCTTCTATTCTAACACATGCCCAAATGTATCTTCCATCGTGCGCAGTGTGATTCAGCAGGCTCTGCAATCTGATCTCCGTATAGGAGCAAGCCTCACTCGTCTTCACTTTCATGATTGTTTTGTCAATGTAAACACCATACATACATACATACGTATATATATATTCAAGAAGAAGAACAGGCAGCTTTTGATTATAGTCTAATGTGAAGACTTGTATATATATATTACTAATAATAGATCTTGTTGCTTATTTGTGTGCGTCCAGGGATGTGATGGGTCGGTGTTGTTAGACCAGGGTGGTAACATAACGCTGAGCGAGAAAAGTGCGGTTCCCAACAACAATTCAGCTCGGGGCTTTGACGTGGTTGATAGAATCAAAGCCTCCATTGAAAACTCATGCCCTGGGGTGGTGTCTTGTGCTGATATTCTTGCCCTCGCAGCCGAAGCATCTGTGTCTCTGGTAAACTATATCAGTTTATCTTCGTCGTCGTTCACGTTCTTGCATATATTTCCTATCTCCGACTGAAATATTGCTCATGTTTTCTGTATCCTTGTGATATTTGCAGACAGGTGGTCCTTCGTGGAACGTACTACTTGGGAGGAGAGACGGCCTGGTAGCAAATCAGAGTGGTGCCAACACCGCAATTCCCACCCCTTTTGACAGCCTCGCCAATATCACGGCAAAGTTTGCGGCAGTGGGCTTAAACACCAACGACGTCGTTGCGTTGTCTGGTAATACTGATTCACCATTTTTCATTGCATAAAAGAAGTACTTTTTATCTTGGTAGCTGGGATACACACACACACACGTTATTATATAGACACGGCTGAGAAAAAAATGGAACTGGTTTGAAGGTGCGCACACGTTTGGTCGAGCGCAGTGTCGATTTTTCAGCAACAGGCTATTCAACTTCAGTGGAACGGGAAGGCCTGATCCGACTCTGAACACCACCTACTTGGCCACGTTGCAGCAGAATTGTCCTCAGAATGGCAGCGGAACAACTCTGAACAATCTCGACCCTTCTTCTCCTAACACTTTTGATAACAACTACTTCGCTAATCTTCTTACCAATCGGGGCCTTCTTCAATCCGACCAGGAGCTCTTCTCCACAAACGGTTCTTCCACTATCTCCATCGTTAACAACTTTGCGGGCAACCAGACTGCTTTCTTCGTCGCCTTTGCTCAGTCCATGATCAATATGGGTAACATTAGCCCCTTAACGGGAACTCAGGGAGAAATCAGATCCGATTGCAAGAAAGTCAACGGAAGTTGACGCATCAACTTCCAATTATTTGGGTACTCATTCATGCCTTCTTCCTGCACTGTTATTTACGTACGGTTGTATTTGATGACGTTTATATCTGCCTTCTACGTCGTATTTTGGGACTTGCTTCCTAAGTTATTATGCAGAGTTCTTGAATGTATGAATTCCTGAATAAGATTTTGTTCTGATAACTGGAAGATGCAGATCCTTCTGGCTTGTCTTGTCTGCCAAAAATGGTTGTCTGACAGATTTCCTGATTCCATCTGAATCTGATGCTTATCTTCTACATAACGTGAAGCCAGGTTGTATGCTTGCGCAGTATCAGTCAACCTTGCATCCGCAATTTTAATCCCTCAATTTGTTTTTGTCTCAATTTTAATTTTTAACCATTGGAAAGATGGAATGGGGACGAATTGTGATGGTTGTACGAATTGAGAGGATCATTTTTTACTTATTTATATTTATCTCAACGAAGATTTCAAATTATGTAATTGAGGTCCGAAAAGAAATGCAAATAATCCTCCCAGTTTTTATTAACATAAATTTTTTTCTGACATTATTTGTGTCATTACCATACGATGCTTTGGCCCACTATATAATTTACGTAAAAAAAAATTAAATATTAAATATGAGTATTAGACAAGTCTAAAAGTCTTGTCCTCCAAGAGTTAAGACGTGGGTATTAGAATCACTATACGCTTAGATCGACTGATAAGGGAGTCGTTCTAGCTTAATAAAAAAGTCTCAAATTCAAGTCCTGAATATGCAGTAGCAACAATATATAACTTGATGGAAACGAGTTGCCCTCTACAGTGAGCCTCATTCGGTGGGGAAAAAAAGGGTTTGGGCACTAGAGCATGGGACATCTCCTAGCCCTGCCCTTTATTGCGTTATTTTACTCTATCATCTTTTAAATTTGTTTCATTTATATTTTTTTACTGCAAGGAACCTACTAAATTATTATCTGTTATAGGAAGAAGCAGGAAGAAATAAATTATTATCCGTTATTCTTTTGGGAGGTGCGGGGGAACATTTTCATTTCGTAGCCTGATGCCAACTCGTGGATTTGACGGCACGGAGAATTTTTGTTTGATATAAACTCTTTTTTCATATGATTAAAGATTATAACTAGTGTGCTTGGCATGCATCCCTAAAAAAATCAATTTTAGATTTTCAGATAAAACTCTTTTTTTATTTGATTTTAGATTTTGAATAGAACTCTTCTCACATGTACAAAAAAATATTTAAAATAAGTTAAATCAAATATTATGCTTGAATTTTTTAAAAAAATTACATATCAACCACTCAACTATCTTTTACAGATATTCTCTGTATAGAAATCAACAGGGGATAGGAACATAAAAGTAATTAATACGAGAATACCTCATCATGATTGACGAACCTCAAGGCAGCAAATTTAATAAAACCAAAATAACAAGGGACAGTAAAGGGGGCAGGGTTTGGGTTTGAATACCTCGTATCCCCAAAACACTGTTCAGTCCCATGGTCCGTCGTCTGTCCTATCACATTGGAGACGTACCTGCCCACAAAAGCTTCATCGTACATCCACATCACTTACTCCATACTTCGCATTCACATTCTCCGTTCATTGGGACTTGAAATTTTCAGCCGGACGACCCTTAATAAAGCAAGCTCCTCGGTTCTTACTTCTTACTCTGCTTTCTGCCCTTTTCATCGCACCCATCTCTCTCTTAAACGCAGCCTATAGTTTTAATGCCTGTTCCTTCAATGATTTTTGACGTTAGCTGGGTTCTTTGAAGTGCCTCAAATGCTTTCCTTTTTGTTCATCTTATTCTGAAAACCAAGCTGCCTCCATGTACTCTTTTGTTGCATCAACGGCAATCATATTGAGCTCTTATTCCTTTTTAAAAAAAAAAAATTGAAGCAGATACAGCAGTTTTATTTTCTTAAATAAATTAAACAATTGCATTTTGCAAATCAATTTTATCAACAAATGTGAATCAAATAGTAATTTTTTATGTAACAAACAGCATCAGACATTTAAAAACAATAAATCATATTTTAAAAGTGCAAAATATCTTATACAGCTGAATATTTACTGGATGTGAAAAAGAGCAAGATTTGTACTACTTCCTCTTGTTTTTGTTATAAGGTTCAAATAACTAATTCATAAATAATAAATAATTAATTAACATTAGTTTAAAATAATAAATAGGTTATAAATATATTTTTGGTTTCAAATATGCCTTTATAATAAGTGAAAAAAGATGAAAAAGAATGTGTAGGAAAAATATAAAAATAAAGAAATAATTAAAAGTAATATTAAAAAATATATTAAATGTTAAGAAAATTAAAATTAAAATTTATAAAATAAATCACACTCTTTATTAAATTTAAAAATTATAAATAAGATTAGAGGGAGTAATATTTACGGAGGCGGGCGGGGGAAAAAGTTCTGCAAGTAGCCAAATAGCTTGCTAATTGGCAAACTAGTTGGTCCAAAGTCCGAACTTGTATGATTATTATGAAAGGCCCTGATTCCGCAATGTATAGTAAAGTTGAGTCACTCCGAGTTACTACGTGCCCCTGATTCTGTTTTAACCCGAGCCACTCGTCACGACCGTGGACGCACCCTTCATCATGGCCGTTCGTGTCAATTTTTTGGGTAGGATCATAATCGCTCCCTCGTTACCTTCCCTCTCCTCTCCTCCCCTCCTCCCAGCCCCCTATACCCTGCGTGGTGGTGACTTCTCTTTCATTCCAAACACCCTACCTTCTAAACCCTCCTCCTTGTTCTCGCTTCCTTCGTTAGATCGCTGAGCCAAGGAGACCCAGAATGCTCGGCTCTACTCGGACCTAGCTCGGCCTAGGTCTCCCCCTCCTCCCCTTCGTCACCATTGGAGTAGGTCTGAGCTGATCGTCAACCTTCCCGGGTCACAGCCCAGGTTTTATCTCTCCCTCGCACCTTTTGTACTCATCCTTTTTTCTCTTCCCAACAATAAAAATTCCCGTCTTTCCTCTTTTTTCTATTCATCTGTTATCCCTAAACCGGTTTTCGCGAAACCCATTTTGGTGACTCTTCCACGTTGCTTTATTCCCTTCCGGAGATTTCCTCCGATGGCCTTTCAACACGAGGTTCTCGTAATTGAGTTGAATTCGAGCAATTGGGCATGGGGTTTCATTTCGATTGCGGTCAACCTTGGGTATTGGATCTGAGTTCGTTCGTGTTTGTGCGGGAGTTAGGGTTTTTGACCAAAGTTGTTGCAAATTTGGGCTATTCTAATTCCTGATTGTTGAATTCTGTCACCAATTGAGGGTTTATCGAACCTTTTCTTTTTTCCCCAATTTGTAATTTGTAATAAAGTTGAGGTTCCGTAATTTAATTCTCTTTTCTTAAAATTTTCTCTGGTGGTTTCATTTCGTTATCTTCCTGACGCTGCATCGTCAGAATTCGTAATAAAGTAAGCCTTTTAAATCTTGGTCATTGAAATTGTAATGGGGGAAGAGACATCGGACGCGATGAACCTTGATTTGAATCTGGGTCCTGATCCAGAGCCAACCAACGAATCCGTCGGCTTAGAGGATTGGATTGAAGAGCCTAGGGTTAGCGAAGCATTTAGACATAGGACTCGACAGAGGTGGAGATGGCGGCATCTTCACATTAATCCTCCTGAACCTCATCGTAGGTTTGTTATGTTGCCTGAAGCCCATGATATCTCAATGCGATTGAATCATTTGCTGGCCAACCCTGGTAATGGAAGTGCGTTACAGGCTGGAGAAGGTAGCGTGGCAGCTGAAGAAAGAGCAGAGGTGGCACCAAAAGCATGCGAAACAAACAATGGTGTTATGGATGATGAAGCATCAGATAAGAAGGATGCTGTTGAAAAGGGTAGTGGCAATGATGGGAGTTTTTTTGATTGTAATATCTGTTTGGACCTGGCTAGAGATCCCGTTGTGACTTGCTGTGGTCATTTGTTTTGTTGGCCATGTCTCTATCGGTGGCTACATGTCCATTCAGATGCTAAGGAATGTCCAGTTTGCAAGGGAGAGGTAACATTTAAAAATGTTACACCAATATATGGTCGGGGAAACAATGTCCGTGAACTTGAGGAAGATCCCACTCTTAAAGTCCCTGTTAGACCCCATGCTAGGCGCGTTGAAAGTCTGAGGCAAACAATTCATCGAAATACATTTACATTGCCAGTGGAAGAGATGATCCGGCGTCTTGGAAGTAGATTTGATCTCTCTCGTGATGTAGGCCAGCCACCTGAGCCTGACGATGCCCGGGAGGCAGCTGACAGAACCAGCACCTTGTTAAATAGATTTTTGACCTCTCGGGCATTACGGAGAGAGCATATTCATGGGGCACCTGCAGATGATGCAGTAGACTTAACTCAAAACAACATTGGTGGCCATGAGGTAGGGGATAACGGCAGGGTCGAGTCCCTTTTACTTCGAAGAACACAGTCACATAGAACAACACTTTCTTCTCTTTCATCAGCTCTGAGTTCTGCTGAGAGATTTGTTGAGGCATATATCCGTCGCCATTCTAGAAGTAGAAACCAAGAGCAGCCTCCACCGGTGGATGATAGAGATTCCTTTTCAAGTGTTGCTGCAGTTATACACTCAGAGAGTCAAGTAGACACTGCTGTAGAAATTGATTCCATGGTATCCTTGTCAACATCCTCTTCCAGGAGGAGAAATGATGCGTCTCGGATTTCTGATGTGGATAGTGGAGATTCTCGAGCTCCCAGGCGTAGACGTTTGAACTGATAAAAATCTTTTTGATCGTTATTATCTTTCCTGTAGTGCACAATTTTATAATATTCCAACAGCTCTGTAAGTGCTACTTGCCTTTATATGGCTTTATATTAATTAAGTATTCACCTTTTACTTCCACCCTTGATAGTTGTAAGATGGTTTTAGAAGCTTCAGAATTGTCACTCATATCTGTTTAAGGATAGAGCTTTTGGGAGTCAATCATCTTCGGTTTGCCCCGCGAAGTAAGCTATGCAATTAAATGGCCATGGTACTCTTATATCCATATATAAATATTAGGTTGATTGGTTGATTATAGGGTACTGTTATATTTATAAGCATTTATGTTTATTCATGTTTAATTTACCCGTTGCAAATTTTGCACACAAATAGTTAATAACACAGGGTTCTGGCCAAAAAAATAATAATGATAACACAGGGCATGCCTATGTGCTCGGTGGTATGTTTTTGGCAAAGATTCCATCTGTTGAGTCATGAGCGTTGTAAGTTCGTGTAAGGAGGGAAGGCGGTCTTATAATTATTTTGTGTCATTACTATTGAGGCTATGTAATTCTAACCTTGTTTTTATATGTCCCAGCAAGCATCCTAATTGTTCTCAGTACTCAAGCATTTGCTTGGCTTCACTATTCAAAATAGAATTAATTAGGATAGAAAGTTCTCTTGAAGAATTTCCCTGGGGTAACCACAACTCGTTTCAAATAATTTGATCCCTATGACTGATAGTATCGGAAGGATCTCTTCTTGAAACTATAATCTGAATGTTTATTTATATTAAGCAGATATTGGATCATTAGGCTCAAGTGTTTTTTTTTTTTAATTACCTGCATATTTGACAGTCCCGTTTATCCTTGATGTCCAACAAAGGATCTGATGATCTTGCTCGTACCAACGAATGAGTTCTTGGTCTTCAATTTCGTTGTCTCAAGCTTGATAAGAATCTATCTTCAATTTCATTTTCGTAAGCCTGATCGGAATCTAAAGTATCTAAAAAACCCTGCGGTTTGCATAAATGTGTTTCTTTGAGCTGATGTGGTACCCTTCTGCCAAAACTTCTGTAAGATGACGAATGACCAGTCAAAGCCATGGCGGGGCACGTTTTCTGGTGAACGTTTTTTTTTTTGGGGGGAGGGATTGGAACAGGAAAAAATAAAGGGGAAAAGAGAATAGAAAAAAGAATGGGAAAAGGCGATAAAAATAGATCTTGTGTGTGACAAAAATGCAAATGCTTGTTGAAGTTGTTTAGCAGTGCGTGTATAAATTAATAGAAGAATGAAATTTTTAAATTTCACAAGATAAAAATAACTTTCTCACTCTCTCTTGATTCCTCTTATTCGTTGTGGCAAGCTCTCTCAATTCTTCTTCTTCTTGCCTATGGTGAGGGTAATATGAACAAACGAGCAGGCCAAGATCCAACTCCACTGACCACGGTGAGCATGGTTAAAAGTGGTTTATCGTCCATATTTGCAAAGGTTGAATTTAATAACATGACATTCTGGCGTTTCTTGATCTGATCGTCGGATAGACTTCAGGATGTGAATGCATTTACCCGTACGGCCTTTCTGTGTTTCACTCGGAATGGAACTCTTGCGAAGTGTTACGTCACTTGAAGAGCACGAGCCATTGGGTCATCGGCCGTCCTCTGTTCAAGTGCTGTATTAGCCAGGGGTTCAATCAACTTGGTTAAATTAACGAGTGATGATCAAATAATGCACTGTGATAATTATTTGAAAAAAAGGGCTATTGATTCACTGTAGTGGTAGGCAAATAAATAAACAAAAATTTGATATTATGAAAGAGTGCAAGTAACAAAAGAAGACAATTTTTCTGGCCAAAATTAAATGGGATAGTGGTTGAAAAATAATATTATAATATATAATTATATATTATTTTGGGCAGGACCAAATGGGCAAGGGAGTATATCTTACCTGCTGGTCGGCCCGAAAATATCTATTTTTGTTCGAGCCTCTTGTTATTAAACTAGATTAGGCTTTTTTTTTTTTTTTTTTACAGACTTGGACAGGTATAGCAGGTATCTAGCTCTCATGAACACCCCTGGGTTAAATGATGCGTTTTATGGTAAACTGTCAACAGGAATGCAAATCTTTAAAAAATGAGTAAACCTGAGGCTGAGCAAATACGAGTTTTGACGAGCCTTAGAGGGTATTTGTGTATCATCCACCCAAACCATGGTTTGGGAAAAATTTGTCCAAACACTCATAAAAAATCAATAACCATGGTTTTGGGTCAAAACCATAGTTTTGTGAGAAGCATTTTGCATCTGCTTCTAGAAAAAAAATGGGAGAGTGTCGGCTGGTTTCAGGGAGAAGGATTTTGACCAGACATATATACCCTTCGCTCCTTCACTGTTGAGAGGTAGTATATTGTCTTCGGTCCTTCACTGTTCAAAGATAGTATTTGGTCTTCGGTCCTTCACTGTTCAAAGATAGCATTTGGTCTTCGGTCCTTCACTGTTCGAGGGAGCATATTGTTTTTTTTTTTTTTTTGGACCAAACAAGAGGTAGTACGTTGTTATTTATTGTTTTTTCAGCTTTTTTTTACCAGAAAATATTTAAAGCAAATTAATATTTTTCGAAAAAAATAATCATTTTTTATAAACATATTTAATCTTATAATTTATAAATATATATACATATTAATTATTTATTAATTATATTATCTTATATATTATTAATTATGTTAGTAAAAATTTTATTCCTTCAAATTAAAATATTATTAATTTGCACATGTAAAAAATGCTTCTGGTAACAACTATCCAAACACTCTCGCTTCTCAGAATCACTTTTTTACAAAATCTATTCTTCTCATAATCTATTTTCCAGAAACTATTCTCCAAACCATGGTTTGGTTTTATCTAAACACCCCCTTGGTCATAATTAATCAAGGGGGGCTTTTCAAATGGGCTGCTTCTGTTCTATGTATGTTCTGCTAACCACATTGAAATATTAGGGAGCGACTTAATTAATGGCATCATTCATCCTTATGGACCATTCGGCCGGGTCAATCAGCGTACAAGGGTGAGTGAGACTTGGAGGTATGAACAGACTGCGACATGGCAGCTTATTCATCCAAGGCCGCGGTAATGAACGTTAACATTCACCGAGAACAATGTCCAGTCCTGTAAGCCCAATACTTATCCTCCTCAAAGTAACAGGCCCAAGTTGCTCACAGCACACTAGACTCGCATTCTACAGATTGGATTCGTTATCCCTGCGTTTTGTCGCCTAGGGTTGTGTCGGCGAACTATATAGGGAAAGAAATCACAAGGGCCCGGTGCGGCACTATCGTTCCAATCAATATTTCCTAAAACTTCTCCAACATTAACCAGTCATTATTCGCCCATGTCTGTTCTTTTTCACATCAAGCAGTACTCACGCACTGTCTGCTGATGGAATCCACAGAGGCAAAGGCAACACTTTCGGAAGCACGAACTTGAATAATTTTCATCGAATCCAATTTTAAGCCGCCCAAACATGCATTTTCATTTCATTGCCCATTTTCAGTACTCATACCTTTGGTGAGCACCATAAACTCATCAGATTTGAATCATTCATATCTTATTTAAAAAGTGTAGATTTGATTTTTTATTGTTATTTATTTAAAATAAATATTTTAATATGTATAAAATCTAAAATAGTGATGATCTTTTAACTATCATTTTTTTTTAAAAAAATTTCTATTTAAAAATAATTAATTAAAAATTTTAAACCTAAACTGTTCAAATCAGAAATAGACAGTTCAGATCTGATGAGTTTAGAGTGCTAAAACCGGATATTATTTCTTTTTGTAACGGCTGATGTTAATTATGACATGTATCCAGCACAAATGCAAGCCCTCAATACACTCCATTAACTTATGGCAACAGTTTTCAGCCTTTACTGCTCATCACCACACACCAGCTGATGCATTTTCCGCAATTTTCAAGCATGTTTCTTCTTGAGCGATCAAACTTGTTTCGTTTTCCTGGCATACTTGTAAACATAATTAATTTAATACCCTTTATGCAAAGGACAGACATTCCTATATCATTATGTACGCACGTATATCATTCATTACACCAAAATGGAGGGACTCTGCAGGCGCAATGGTTTGACGCACCAATGACAATATATTCACATGATGAGTGAACCTCGTTCGCAGAGACAGATGCTTGGACTGAAACGGCATACCAAGTTTCTCGATCGTGTAAAGATGCCGCTCCCTACTAAAGAAGCGGTCTCTCTTTACTCTGTGGGGTTCCAATTAGAGAGAGGCACTCATAGTTATAGCTCCAAAAGGACTCGTCCCCTCCCAGTCAGGAGCCTGAAAGTCTAATTCAAAGCAGCATGGCCCAGTTGCATGGGTATGGAACTCCACCTAAAGCCCAAGTTGAGGCTCAAAATCGACGCCGTGCGTCATGGATTAATTAGCAAGACAAGACTGTTACTCCAGTGAAACATCCTCATGGTTGCTGATGAGGTAGGTAAAGTCTGAAGGTTGTAATCGTGCCCATCGAGAAACTGTGTCGGTGATTTATTCTTTATCATTGCAGGCATGTTGAGGTATGGGAATTGCTCTGAGAGAAGGAGCAGGGAAGAAAAAAGGCATGATTGGAGTTGGACGCGCACACACAGAAGCCAGTCATTTGGTGCATGGCATTTCATCTTCCGTCGTGTGTGGTCACTGGTCAACACTCAACACAATCCATACGCATCGCCGTTGCCAAACATCATGTCCTCTTTCTTCGTGCCCGAATTCTCTGTGTAGTATATACATATTGAAAAGCAAGATTCTAATATTATTCCTTTGATTTATTATGTCATGGTTATCTTTTCTGACAATCTTTAATTATTGTAGTCATTGTCGTTATGATTGTGGTGGTGTGCTTGTGCCCACTGCAAATTCAGGGATGCATGCCCGCGATTCCCTGCCCGCGATTCAGAAAGGGAGACTTTGCTCATTTAATTTGATCATCACTTCATCTTGATTCAGGATATCGACATTTGAGAGCGCTTCTAGTCAATTCACGTTTGAGGAAAACAACTTTCTCTGGTCAAAATAAACTTTAGACATTCTCTTTCGTCACTCGCTCCTTCCCCGAAAATCATGGTTGAGATTACTTTGAGATTGAAAGAAACATCATGACAGCGTTTCAATCTTGCTGAGAATCTCTGAGCGGATCCTATTATCTGAACATTGACGAA